ATCGATGGACAGATTTCTTAATTTTCGAGCAAATTTATGAAAAAGAAGTCTTCATTCTATACTTTGTTATGAAACAAATGGCTTGTCAATTTAACACATTTTTAAGAGGCAATTGGTTAACCGACCATCTATTAAGAGTCGGTCTTTTAAAAAATGATTGATTAACAAATTGACTCTTAACGGATGGTCAGTTAATCGATCGCATGTTTAATGCTATGTTGGCTTCCATTTGTATGTTTAGATAGATGGGTACGAATTATTGGAGATATTTGTTAATTTTGAAGTAAATTTATGAAAAATAAGCCTTCATTATGTACTTTGTTATGAAATAGATGGCTTGTCATCGACGACATTTTAAGAGGCAATCGATTAACCGACCGTCTATTAAGAGTCGGTCTGTTAACAAATGATCGATTAATATGCAGAACTCTTAACATATTGTCAGTTAATCGATCGTCCGCTAAATGTAACGTTGACTTCAGTTAATCGTGCTCTTTGTCGCCCCCATTTCCCTTGGGACCAAATAGATAGATCCACTTTACACCTTAATCCAATTTAACTCTATACGTAAATAGACAATTATCCATCTCAATTAATTAATTAAATCTTACCCAAATACCCACCAATCATCACAATTGTGAATGCAAAAGCTTCAAATTGGTTGTTGAACAACTGTTGTTAAACCATATTCATCGATAACCTATTAACAATTAAGTCGAGATTTTAATTCAAACTTACACTATTTTTTTCTTTCTACCAATAATTTTCTTGAATTTTGGCTTAATTTTCAGGCCGCTTTATCCAATTTTTTTTTATAATAGTTTGTAATATTTTTATTGGTAGTTGTGTTATTTTGTTCTAATTTATGCTAGAGTTCCATGAATTTTTAGCGGATGACATTTTATTTATTTATTTGCTTATTCAATTTTTTAGTCAGGTCACTCAATTAATTATTTACATTTTAACTTGATTTTTAGATTTTATTGTGATATGGTGAATTACTTAATTGTTCATTGTGAGGATTTGACTAATGAACTTTTCGACGTATTATTTAGGTAAAATTGAATAAATGATTTCAAGATTGTCTTCCCAAAGATGTGTTAGCAATTTAAATAACTACAATTATTTTCAACTCTGCATTCTCTACTAGTGGTCAGATTCTTTATTCCTTTAATAGTTCGTTGAGCGCAAATATGGTTGAATCGGTGATTTGTCTTAAAAATTGGTTGCATAGCAACAAAGAACCTATAGTGATTTATCGTGTTTGGATAAGTTATAAGTATTGGATGATTCACATAAGTTGTAGAAGATATTATCATATTCATTTTATTTTATTTTATTAATTATTTTATATCATTTAACTATAATCAATGAATCCATGTATTATATTCTTATCTTTATGGAGATAATGAGTTATATGTTACAATTGACCATGTCGCGTCAATTAGTATCAATCAAGAGGTTAAAATATTTCTATCATGTTGTCGCATTTTAATAATTAGAATTATAATACTTTAATTTGTAATATTTTTAATAATATTATTAAATATGTTTATGATTTAAATTATTCAATAGATATTATTATATATTTTTTTTGTTAAACCGTGGTTTTAAACCAAACTAAAATGAAAAAAAGTGGTTTAGATCGGTCGCTTTAAGTGATTTTGTTTGAAAATTTATCAAAAATCGTTTAAATCGAATCGTATTCACTCCTAAGACATGCTTGTCAAAATGAGAACCGTATATAATAAAATATTGTGCAAAAAGAGTTATTACTCCAACAAAAATAAAATATTATGTAGTTGATAATTACCACAAACTTTATATGCTCATACGCTAAAATTAATTATTCTTTCTTTTTTTTTTGTTGACGTAGGAACCCGCAGTCTCTACACGTCAGCGGAGCCCCGACCACTGTGAGTGCCTACTAGGTAAATCCCGCTCCATGTGCAATAGCCCGCAAACCACACAGGAGAGGTAAACCGCACTAGGCAAGTCCGGTGCGACGGACTCGACCGAGGAAGTGTTGGTAGGGGATTCGAATTCGTGACTTTTGGTCTCCGCATTCACCTGCTCCACCAACTCGGCCACCCTCGAAGGGGCTAATTATTCTTATTTTTCTTTGTAAAAGGTGTAGCGCCAAAGATTTCTATTAATAAATCACCATATTGATAATATTTGACACAAGGGGGGTCATCAATCATCAAGAGGTCTTCATTAAATATAAGTAACTATCAATATTACCATCATAAGATACTCATTTTCGATTGCACTTGTTGTTAAAATACACTTAAATGAATATAATTAAGGGAAAATTGCCGTCACGGTACCAAACATTTCATTTAGTAGTAGACTTTACTCAAACATTTCATTTGTACCACTCACGATACCTAACCTTTCAAAATGTAGCAACCAGAGTCCAAATGGAACCCATCCATTTGACCATTAGTTGACCAGAATAGTAAAAATTTATCAAATCTAATAAGGGCAAAATAATAAGTCTACAATTTTAATATAAAATAATTATAATAATTAGAAAAAGAAAAAAAAAAGATTCTTCTTCTTCATCAGATCCCCCACCCCACAGATCCAAATCCCAATCTAAACGTGTTGATACCTGCGGCATTTTTAGAATTGTTGTTCCCATTGGAGGTATTTTTTGCTTTTTTCTTCCCCTTCCTTGTGGTCGTCGTCCACACATCCTTGCTCTTCTTTTTCAATTTCTTGCTTGTTTTTACACGTGGCTTTTCCATTTTGGGCGGGGGTGTAGTTCCCTCCATGGCTGAGGGTGTTTCGACAATTTCATTCTCTAGGAGCTCAGGTTTGGACAAGTCCGATAGTTATTTTAGCTTCTTCGATTGGGACTTTTCTTCTTCTTCCTCCGAATCCGGGTGCAAAGTTGGGGAATGTTGGGATCCATTTTGGTAGGATTCCAGAGCTAGTGGAGTTTCATGGTTGGAAATAGGGGTGGGCGTGGGCGTGGGCGTGGGCGTGGGTTGGGTTGGTTTTTGTCCCAATCCAAACTCAACCCAACACGATCGGTTTGATCGAAATTCAACCCAACCCAACCTACGAAAAAATCCCAACCCAACCCAACCCAACCAAATGTGGGTTGGGTTGGGTCTGGTTGGTCGGGTTGGAACGACCTTTCAAATAAAAAACT